AGGAGGAAGGACGACCACGGCGACAACGACGACGGAAACGACCACGACGCCAAAGAGGACGACGACGACGAACACGAGGAAAGACAGAGGACGACGTAGGCGACGACGACGACGACGACGACGCGGGAGCAGGGAGGACGGCGACGACGACGACGACGACGCAAGAGCGCGCGCGCACGCTTTTGTTGAACATCCGTGTTGCGAAACCTTGTTTTGTTGTAGGTTTTTGGGACACGCGATTTTGAAATCCTTCCGAAACCGATGGGTTTTGAAGGATTTCGGCATACGCGCGCGACGACGCGCGCGTCTGCACTTCGTTCCGTTTTTGCAGAGGATTCTCGCGACGGCGCACGCGCAAGGGCGTTCGACAGATCTCGACATGCGCGCGCGAAGCCCGTTTGGTAGCATCTTGTGAAAATCTTGAAAACCCTATGTTTTTTTTGGTTTAAAAAAAGATTTCGCAAGAGCTCGCGCGTAAGCTTTTTTGGCAAATCAGTGTTGCGAAACCCTATGTTTTTGTATGTTTTTTTTGGAACTCGATTGCGACATCCTTCCGACACCGAAGGTTTTTTGAAGGTTTTCGGCATGCGCGCGCGACGACGCGCGCGTGTGCACTTCGTTCAGTTTTTTGCAACGGATTCGTGAACAAGTCTTATGTCAGAACAACCAAAAGATGTCCCCGCGTATCGTCTTATTACAAGGGAACCCCAGGGGGGCCTATACTGGTTCCCTGGGGATAGTGTAAATTCATAGTTAGGATGGACATGTGGTCAGCATCATATCTGATTCACATACCCGAAATTGGGGCGGCGAACGCCGGGGGGGGAGAGTCTATTTTTTAGAAAAGAGGATCTTTGTGGTGCGATCCAACTGTGGAAATTGCAGTCGTCAACTTCAACGCTCGTGCAAACATCCGCCCTCCCACCCGAAACTTGTTGGTAAAGCTCATCTGGCCATGATCTCAAAGAGCGCATGGGCGCATCTTTTCAACCGCGCAGCGAAATTCGTCCTGCATGTCGCGAAGTGATGGTGGCTTGGTGACGACCGCGACGCCAAGGACGATGGCGATGACTGTGGTGAAGGCGCTGATGCCGACCGTGATGACACTTGCGAGGATGACCTCTTGGGCTCCCTTGGTCCCTTCTTGCGGGCCTTGTGGACCGTTCCAGGTCAATATTGCGGTAGCCGTTGGGGGTGTGGGAAGCTCGAGGCGGCGAGAACGCACAACCGTTGTGTCCCTTGCCCCAGTCATCGGAGTCTTCTGCCATCCCCCTTTGGGTCTTGGGCACCATGGGGGCCGTCCTGCGGCCACTCTGTGCCGTCCGGCAGCGCTCCAGGCCGTCCCAGGACGACTGTCCTGGGGGCCGTCTTGGGGCCCAACGAGTACCTGGGGGGGGGGGGGGGCGGGGTCTGGGCCCCCCTCTCTCGGCGCCCTCTCCCGTGCGCTGGCGTACAGGGCAGGTCCTCACGTAAGCTGCCCCGTGCCCCTGCACCTTTTGCCCTCCCGTTCCTCCAGGACACGCTGTGACAGCATGCGGTTTTCCTTCTCTTCTTGTGCTCTGGTGGCCTTCAGCAGCAGGTTTCCCCCTCTCGTTTTCTACCGCGCTCCGCGAACATCATTGTACAGGTGCTGGGCTCTTACCCCCGTTTTGGCTTATGCAGCTCGGCACACGTGTCTTTCGTTCTCTGTCCAGGCCTGCTTCTTTCCTGGCTGCTAATCTGGTCGTTCTCTCCTTCTGCCCTTTCCTAAGCCGTGTCTACTCTACCATTACTTTGCCCTAGCACTAATCTTATTCGAATTCGTTGTTCCGTCAAACTAGACCTGGACCCCGCCTGTCTGGGGCATATACCCTTCACAATAATACCATGTGGTGCACTTCGCGCATTGTCCTTTGCAATCCCTTCCGTGCGGTGACACAGCCCGATCCAGCCCTGGCATTCTTCTCTTGCAAATAACACCGTGCGGTCCGCTGGCTCAAGCCGTTTAGACTCAGGTGATCTAGCCTGGAACGCTGAACTCCGTTTGCGCTCCGCCCGCTGACTCTGTACAGGCTGCCTCTCTCGGCTTGCCCGTGCGCGTCCTGGCCGTCGCGTCCACGGTCTCTTGGCGCTCTGGCCGAGGAGGGTGCTGCCGGGCGGAACCGTCGCTCTCTCTCCCGCAGGCCCAGGGTGAGGGTCAGGAGTGCGACAGCAGCGGCTCGGATGGCCACTCCTGCGGTGACCGCTCTGTCGGGCTCGGGTGTGTCCCCCCGTCCGGTGGCGCCGCACTGGGCAGCCCCAGCGTCTGCAGAAGGGTATGCAGAGGCTTCGGCGCCGGCGGGGCCATGTCTTGGCAGTGCGCCCGGGGGAAGGGGGAGGGGGCAGGACGTCTCAGAAGGCGGCGGGGCTCCTCGGAAGCCCTCCAGCCTTGTGAAGGGCCGTCTCGGTCTTCGGAGATGGCCCCGCAGACTTCTCAGGAGGCCGGAGGCCTTCAGAGCCTTCTGAGAAGGCCCGCCCCCTCCGACGTCCCCCCTGGGCTCGCCGCCGAACGGCAACGGCACCTGCAGTGCGGGCCAGACTTGCTCCAGCAAGCTCGCCACGCCGAGCATCGGGGCGGGCCGGCGGCTCTGGGCGTGCTGCTCTGGCAAGGCCGCCGCGCCGTGCGGGGCGCGGGGCGGTGTTGCTGCAAGGCGCTGTGCGGTGCTCTGGGGGCCGTTGTCGGGCCAAGGGACCGTCGAACACAGATCCGGAGTGACAAATGGTGTGGGGACTGATTTTGAGCGGATGTGGCCTCGTCCTCCCTCCGGATCGACTTTCTCGAGGCCCATCCAGTTCAGACCCACCAGCCGCCCATGTAGGCCCTCGGGGCTCCGCCTGGTCCCTAGTGACACAGTTACAGAGGCGTCGCTTCTTTGATTGGAGTAGCTTCGACCGTGGCCAGGCGGCGGAGGGGGAACCCATGCGGTGCGCATGCACTTCCAAGTGCTAAGGGTCCAGACCATCTAGAAGCCATGACGGTTGCACGAGCGCCGCACGCAGTTTTCAACCACATATCTTTGGTAAGAGAGTCTGTGGTACATCCAACAACATCAATGCTTTCAACACGGCTTGTGGTGATGTTCATTGCGCGCACATGTGCAAGTTGTAAAACGCCATTGATTGTCTCGCCTTTTCACTCATAGAGTACATACTAGTGTTTGGTTTTCACTTGTGACTTGCTCGATGTCTTGGTCTTGAGATCGGACCTCGCGGGACACTGGTTTCCTTTTTGTACGCTACGACCAGCGCGAGTTGCATTGATTCATGCAGAGTCCTGCGCGGGCTACCAATGAGTTCAAATGCCATCAACACCTCTACGAATATGCGCGCATGAGTTCATTATTTTGCACGGCCTTGCGGAACGTGCGGGGGTGTTTGGGGGGGAAGGCGGGGGGATGGGGGAACAGTTCAGATCTGTGCTTGGCTATAGAGGATGTGCCTTGGACGTCTTTGCCACTTCAATCACGAATGAGAGCCGATCTGCCGTACTCCTTGACCCCCAATCGCATTCATGGTGACTCGGAGTGCCCGGGCAGCGACCCATGTAAAGGCGTCCTGGTTCGGGAGGCCTGCGGCGTTTTTTGGAGTCTCGAGCGCAGCCGGGGTTAATCGGGGGCGGCAAAGAGGGGGGTGATGACTAGGGGTGTGGGGATGTCATGACGGGGGCCATGATATCTCCTCAGATTTTTGGCGCCTCTTCTTATTTCATTACGTTCCCGGCCCACTCCCTGGGCCGCGCACATGCCGCCGGCCACGATTTGCGCCCCCCCCTCTGGGACGCCCCCGTCTTGGCCGCCCCCGTCTTGGCCGCCCAGGTTCTCCTGACCGGAGAGCCGCTCCGTCGATGCGGGCCCCAAACCAGTCGGGGGTGGGCAGACCTCCTATCGGGGGTGGACAGAACCCCCAACAGTGACACGTCGATTAGTGAATTGTCCGTTTTCGGTTCTCGAGAGGGCGCCGCGGCCGTTATTTTCCAGGCTTGCGCCCGCCAGGTTTGGGCCTCAGGTCGTTTTCACTAAACCACGCTTTACTAAAGGGGGGTCTGTCCATCCCCGATCCTACCCTGACACGTCGATTAGCTAGAGGGCGTCGTGGTCGTCATTTTTGCGGGTCCGGGTCCGTGGGTTTCGGTCCCAGGCCGCTTTCACTAAGGGGAGGTTTATTTACCAAAGGGAGGTTTGTCCACCGCCGAACCAGGATCAGCCGAGTCCCTGCGCCCTGGGGGTGCAAGACAGCCTATCCGATCTTCACGGGCGCGGGCTCCTGTGAGCGATGACGGGTGCCGAGCTTGGTGATACATCCAATACGGTGGGGGCGTTCGTTGAGGAGTGCGCCCAGGAGGCCGCAGACCCTGGAGGATTCCTTATCTGACGAGGGCGACGATGGTATCCATGGCCAAGCGTCAGCTGGTGTTCCACCGACTTCCAGACCCCGGATTCCTTATCTAAGGGCTTCGTATTCAATGATGCCCTCACCGTACTTGTTCCTCCTTCCCCTCCTCCCCATCACCCTCATCATCCTCGTTCTCCGTCCTCTTCTCCCTTCACCTCTCTCTCTCTCTCACTCCGCTTCTCCACCCTTTCCTCGTCTTTCCTTCTGTCGCCGTCCTGGCCCGTCCATTCCCGTCCCCTTCTCCTCGTCCTACTCCAGACATGGTGGAACACCGAGTAGAAGGGGGCTTGGGCGCAGGGCGGATTTAGGGCTCCCTGTTCGGTTGTGGCGGCGCCGGCGGTGCGTCTGGGAAGATCCCCAGGACGGTTGCCAAAGTGGGTAACTCGGCTTCAGCGGGCTTTCGGTCCAGCTCCCCTCCTCCTCCTCCTCCTCCTCCTCCTCCTTGGCCCTTTGCCCTTTGCCCTTTGCGCTAGGTCCACTCCGTTCGCCTCCTCCTGCTCCTCTTTCTCCTCCGCCTCCCCCTCCTCCACCTCCTCCTCCCCCTCCCCTCCTCCTCCTCCTCCTCCTCCTCCTCCTCCTCCTTTTCTCAGGACGAGGGCATTTCGACCCCCACCAAGCTCACGGTCGTGGTCAACATGACGGCAGCTTAGGAGGGCCCGGCTTCGTGGCTGGGGACCGGCCGCCCCGATGTCCGGCCCTGGCGAGCCAGCCGGGGGCGCTCGGCGCGCAGCGTTCGCCCGGGCAGGCGGCCCTCGTGGCGGCAGACGTATACCACGAGCCATCTCGTTTCCGGAGGCGTCCAAGAGGAGGGTACGGATTATGCGTGTGTGTGTGTGTGTGTGTGTGTGTGTGTGTTCGTCTCTTCATCGCCCCTCCCAGCCATCCAGGCCTGGATGGTCAGGGCCGTCGCCGGCTACGAGACCCCGAGGGGTCTCTGAGTTCGCGGCCGGGCGTAGACGCGCGCGCCTCACAGCTTGCACCCGACTTTCTACCCCCATTGCCGCGCGCGGCGCCGCGATGCCAAAGTGTGTGTGTGTGTGTATGTGTGTGTGTGTGTGTGTGTGTCCGTAGGCGTTGGCTCAAGCCTTTGGCTCAAGCCGTGTGGTCTGGGCTCTAGCACGCCCCTGGCTCAGGTGCGGCGGTCTGGCCCTGGCATGATGACGTCCGCCGCGGCGCGGCGACGGCGGCAGGCCCGTGCCGCTGCCACTCGCCGTTTGGCTGCCGCCGCCGCCGGCGCCCTGGTCGACGCGGGCCCGCCAGGGCTCTCTGGCGCCGCTGGCGCGGCTGTTGCTGCTGGCGCGGCTTGTGCTGCTGGCGCGACGGGCGCGGCCGCCCTCGGCAGCGCGCCTGCTGCTGCGAGCGCTTCCGGCGCTGCTGGCGCCGCCGCTTCGTCTCTCGCTGCTGACGCCCGCTGGGCGTTCCGCGCGGGCTGGGCTGCTCGCCCTCTCGCCCCCGCGGGCGCTCCAGGCGCTGCCGACGCCCCCGGGCATGTTGGCGCCCGCGTGCGCTGTCCTGTTGGCGCCGCTGGCGCCGTCAGCACGGTCGAAGTTGGCGACGCTGCTCCTGGCGTCTTCGCGATCGATGTCGCTGACGCGGCCAGCGCGCCGGGGCTCCCTTGCGCCGCCGGCGCGGCTGGCGCTGCTGGCGCGACGGGCGCGGCCTCTCTCGGCGGCGCGCCTGCTGCGGCGAGCGCTTCCTGCGTTGCTGGCGCCGCCGTCTCGGCTCTCGCTGCTGACGCCCGCTGGGCGGTCGGCGCGGGCTGGGCTCTTCATCTTCTCGCATCTGCGGGGGCCCCGGGCGCTGCCGACGCCCGCGGGCATGTCGGCGCGGCCCGCGTGCGCCGCCCCGCGGCTGGCGCCGCTGGCGCCGCCAGTGCGGTCGAGGCTGCTGACGCTGCTCCTGGCGTCGGCGCGTTCGGCGCAGCTGACGTGCCTGGCGCGGCCGCCGCGATCGCCGCCTGCGTTTGTGCCGCGGCCGCCGCCGCGGCGGCTCGGGCCGCCCTCTGGGCCGCCGTTGGAGCGCTGGCGCAGGCCGCCGAGCTCGCGGCGGGCGCCGCGGCGGGCAGTCGGCCATCTGGCGCCGCCATCTTCTCCAGCGCCTCGAACAGAGCGCGCGGAGAAGGAGCCTGCCATCATCTACGCCATCACCACGATCAGCGCTTTCGGGAAGGGAAACAGGGGCCGCGGCAGCCGGCCCTGACTTTGGTCGGCGAAATCCTGTAAGTGAAGCTGGCGCCCGTCCCCGTCTGCTATGGCGCCCCGATCAGCGCGTGCGGGGCGAACGTGCGCGGCGAGATTTTCGGCGTGGAATTCGAGCCCGCCATGTTTGCTGCGGCGCCCTGATCAGCGCGTGCGAGATGGGGCCGTGGCAGTCGGCCCTGCCAGTGGCGGCGTGGTCACGGATGACGCGGATGTGCAGGGGGGTCGACGACGAGGTGGAGCTGGTCGTGGAGACGGCCATTGGTAGGGTCGACGAGGAGGATGGCGAGTGGGGCGACGAGAAGGTGTCCATGGAGGGGGGGGAGGAGGAGTGGGGCGTCGAGATGAAGGAGGCCGTCGACGTGGTCGCGGGGATCGATTCCGCGGGCTACACCGCCAATCCTGTCGATGCTACACCGGCAGTCATGTCGACCCCGCGCCGCCAACCCCTGCGATCCCGTGTGGGCCGTGCCCGCCAATCTCGGGGCGATGTGGGGTATGGGGGGCCCGTGGGCGGCCGGGGCGGCGGCCGGGGCGGCAGGCCCTGGGCCCGCTGGCGCCTCCTTAGTGGGGCCGCGCAGCCGCGTGCAGCCATGGGGCCACGCGGCGACAGCAGGGGTCGCAAGCATGGTTTCAGCGGGCAGCAATGGAACAGCTACGCAGACGGCGAGGGCCCCCGCGCCGAGGGAAACGCCCGCCCCAGGCGTTGTTGGGAGCTCGCGCCTCGGCGGGTCAAGTGAAGTTCCTGCCCGATCGCAGGCGGGCGAGGACGAGGCGGATGACGCGCAGAGATCGGGGAGAGACGAGGAGGAAGGGTACCTCGATTCACATCCTTCCGACCAATCGCTGCCTGGCGACAGCGTCCCAGACGGGGGGCAGGGCGAGCTTGCCCTGTGCCGCCTTGTTGCAAACGGCCGCTTTTCGCCGCCGCAGCGTTCGTCGCCCGACTGCGACAGTCTGGGCCCAGTCGAGCACTGCGGCCGCGGGCGGACGCGTGAGGGCGGAGAGAGCCCCGCGAGGGAGCTGGTCCCACGTCCCGGGTTGGCGGATCACGAGGACGACGCCGTCGTTCCCCCGACAGGCGCGAACTCTCCGGCAAGCCCGCCGGCGCCTCGCTGCGGCCAGTGAGGCCATGGGGCCGCCAGCCCAGGCCGTGGCAGCAGACGGCTAACGGTTTGCTGTCAGCGGGGCTGGGCGTTTACAGCCGCCCCTCGCGCCGGGTCAGCACAGCTGCGGGCGACGTCGGTGAGCGTTCAGAAGTCCCGAGTTCTCTCGCGCCGGCTGTCTTGTCGACTGCGGCGCGGACGGCAGACTGGCAGCTGGCGCTGCGAGCGAGAGTGGCAGCCGCGCGCGACAGACGCGTGATTTCCAGCAGCACTTCGCAGGTCATGGTCCGCGCGCCCGTGGCGGAGGCGCCGTCTTTGGACAGACCTCGACTCGCCCAGCTAGCGCAGGGTAGCCACTGGCTCATGGTCAAGGAGGCGTGGGCTGACTCCTTGTGGACCTCGTGGGCGCTGGGGTCATTTAGTTGGGGGCTGGAAAAACATGGAAGAGCCGAGCTCGTCCAGAAATGGTCCCACGTCAGGTTGTGATCGACTTCCTTGGCTCCCTGCCAATGCCCGGGTGGCGACCGGCCGCCGCTCGCGCTCCGGCCTTGACAGACTTGATTGACCCGCCCAGATCAGCCGAGGGCCGTGACTCGACCGGGCAACTGGCTGGCCTGGAAGGTGCCTCGAAGGATCAGCTCGTGGCCCGTGCCAGGCGGCTGGGGGGCCAGAGCAAGATTGCTTGGAGAGGTCGCTGCGGGTAGTTCGGCGGCAACGCGCTGGGTTTATGGTGGCGTGACCTGGGTATCCTCCGCGGTTTCCTCGCGGCGCGCGGGTAGGGCGTCGCTTTGCAGTCTCCTGGGCCCGGCGGCCATGCGCCAAACGCGCGCCGATTTGTCGCTGTTTGCCCTGTCGCACACCGATCAGTCGCTCGTGTCGCGCGCCGATGAGTCGCTTGCTGTGCCCCGATGCTCGCCGAGTAGTCGCTCTGGGCGCGCGCCGCTCTGTTGCCCTTGACTCCGACTCGTTTCGCTCGCCCTTGCTTCCGCCACTTTTGGCCTTCGGCGCCGTGGCGTTCTGTTTTCGGTCGGAGGTGGCGTGGCGGTCCTGCTGCCTTCCGGTGGCGCTCCCCCCGCGGTGGCTCGGGGCTCCGCTCCGAGCTGTAAGCGACGGGGCGCGGGCGAACGTTCGCGCTCCTGCGTCGACGCCGCAGCAGTTTTACTTTTTTTCCTCCCCCATTTTTGTTGTTTTAAGTAAATATCTTTTCGCGTGGTGGTTCTTCTCGTGCGGGGCGCCCCAGTCAAAAAGGCCGTCTTCGGCATGGGGCGGCATTTTTGGACTGCGCATGTCGGGCGCGCATCACTAGCAGATCTGTCGGGGTCGCCACCGTCTTTTTCCTTATTTTCTTCTTCCCCGTCGGAGGTGGCGTGGCGTTTCCGCCGCTCTGGCGGCGCTCCCCCCCGCGGTGGTTTGTCGGTCCTTCCTCCTCCTCCTTGGTCGCGGGGTTCGCTCGGTCGTCGCCGTCGTCGGTCGTGGGTTCGCCGCGTCGTGGGTCCCCCGCCGTAGTCTGCTCGGGCTACCCTCCCGCCTCTGCCCCTACTTGCTCTTTGCCGGGTCGTCCCCGCCGCGGAGGGTTGGGCTTCTCCCGTGTGGACGCTTGGCGGTCAGTGCTGGCGTGGCACGCCTGTTTTGCTTCTCTCTCTCTCTCTCTTTCTGTGCGTCGGCCCCGTGCCTGGTGTAGCACGCTCCCTTTAGGCTGTCCAGGCCAGTGAAGGGCCACCCTGACTGGGCTCTGGGGTTGGTTTCGTCTTATGTGCCCGACCACACCCTGGCTTCGAGACCCTGGATTCCTTATATCCATGTGTCCCTTATCCAATGCCTCACCGTACCATTCTTTTGTGGTTGGCGCCTCTACTGCAGCCTAATCTTCGGCCAGCGATACTGGGCGTGTCAGTGATACTGGGCTCCTTTGGTGGCGGGGCTACCCACCAGGGATTGTACGGCATGGCTTCGTTCGATTGGCTTCGGCCCTGCATGCGCGTGCTTACGTGTGCCACCAGTTTCGCCAGGCCGTAGCCTCCTCAACGCTATTTCGCCTTCGGCTGGTTTGGCAGCTTTTTCAGGTTTCTGTCTTGTGCCTTCGCTGTTCAACATCGTTCATATGATCGGTGGCACCAAGTAGCACCGCATTGCTGCTTGCGCTTCAAATTACCAGCGTCGAGCTTATGTTTCTCGGGTTTTTTGGCCGCTGCGTTGGGCGTGATTGGGCTTTCTCATCATGGCTCGTGCGACGAAGTTCGTTCGCAATCGGCACCTCCACCTGCCGACCGCGCCTGCGGTCCCTCTGCGCCGCCATTTTTTTTTCATATATATAGTGTTGTTGTTGTTGTTGTTGTTGTTGTTGTTGTTGTTGTTGTTGTTGTTGTTGTTGTTGTTGTTGTTGTTGTTGTTGTTGTTTTTTTTTTTTTTTTTTTTTTTTTTTTTTTTTTTTTTTTTTTTTTTTGTTTTGTTTTTTTTTGTGTGTGTGTGTGGTGTGTGTGTGTGTAAAGTTGTGGCCCATATATATATATATATGTTTGTACACACGTATATATGTATATTTACACATTCATACACGTATGTGTATGTATGTGTATATATATATAATTTTGTATGTCTGTATGTCTGTCTGTATGTTTGTAAGTCTGTATGTTTAGAAATTAGATCCCGTCGACACTCAGTGTGCCTCATCACACCACCTGGCCGCCCTGCGTCCGCGCATACGGGTCAGGGCACGATGTGTTAACATTCGTTTTTCCTGGCCCCTTATCTTCGGCGCACCCGACATGTAAGTGCAGGCCGTTGTCGCTTGCCAGCAGCGCCAGCGCGGTGTCTCGAAAGGACATCTGTTTGGAGCAGGCTGCATTTTTTTGGGCTGATGGACGACGAGTGCGAAAATGGGTGGCGCCATAAACAGGTAATTCTTCGCCAGCAACCTTTGAGTCTGGGTGTCGCCGTTCACGCATGTCGGAGCCATGCACCAGATTACCAGTGACGCCCGAGTCTCTGCCACGACCTCCCCCCCGCCCTGACACGCCGCCGTTGGGATCCCGTCAGCGCGTTGTTCCTCGTTTTCGGCCGAGTGCCTGGAATGTCTCCAACAGCAACGCGCTGATGGGTTCCCCGCGGCCGCGTGTCATTGATCTTTTTCTTGCTTGCCCACCGCCTCCTCTTCTATCCGATCGCGGTGGGAAAGGCTGCGGTCTTCTAGCCTGGGCGCGACAGGCGGGGCGCGGGCCTCGGCCCGGTGGCCTTTTGCCTGCTAAGGACCACGCTCAAGTACGAGCAGGGCGCCCTCGAGAAGACGCTCAGCGCGCACCAGACGGGGCCCAGGGCTGAGGTCCGCGCGACCATCAAAGAGATGTTTCCGGAGCCCCCGCGGGGCGATCGGGGCCAGGGAGGCCAGGAGGACGGGGCAGGAGAGGTTCAGGAGGGGGAGGGCGACGACGACGACTGCGACGACGACGAGGAGGAGAGCGCTTGCTGTTGGTGATGATGTCGACGATGACGATGACCATGCTGGTGATGATGCTGATGATGAGGATGACGATGATGAATCTGATGATGTTGATGATGATGGCGATACTGATGATGCTGATGATGATGACGATGCTGCTGATGCGGATGATGATGATGATGATGATGATGATGATGGTGATGATGATGATGGTGGTGGTGGTGATCATGGTGATGATTATATTGCTGCTGCTGCCGATGAGGATGGTGATGATGCTGATGACGATGCTGATGACGATGCTGATGATGATGATGATGATGATGATGATGATGATGATGATGATGATGATGATGCTGATAATGATGATGATGATGATGATGATGATGATGGTGGTGATGATGATGATGCTGATGATGATGACGATGATGATGGTGGTTGTGGCGTCGGTGGTGATGTTGTTGTTGTTGATGATAGTGGTGGTGGTGGTGGTAATGATGATAATGTTGACGATGACGATGACGATGGTGACGATGACGACGATGATGACGATCGAGATGACGATGATGACGACAATGATGATGATGATGCTAATGATGACGATGATGAGGAGGATGATGATGATGATGATGATTATGATGCTGCTGCTGTTAATGATGATCATGATGATGCTGATGATGCTGATGATAATGATGATGATGCCGAGGATGCGGGTGATGATGGTAATGTCGCTTGTGATGGTGGTGATGACGATGACGATGAAGAGGAGGAGGAGCAGCAGAAAGGGAGCCGGAAGGCTCAGACGAGGAAGTCGGGCTCCATCATGTGATCGACGCAGTTGACGAAGTCGGCTCGTATGCAAGTATCTTCGTTGACAGCTTGTTTGGTTACTCAGAGAAGTCCTCTCTGTGACCCGATGTTTTCAAACACGAAGAACTTGTTGTGAGGTTTGCAAGTCACATGTGTGATCAATATGGTAGTTTTGGTAGAGTTGGACAAGTTTGGAGGTCTATGCAGCAGATGTTTCCGACTCAGCGTGGGTGTATCATCACTTGGGGTTCGAGACGAGATGGTTGCTGGAGTTCAGTGCACCCTTACGCGCATAGGCTTGAACATGATTTCCTCCACGGTGCTCGTATCAGATTTGGGAGCAGTGTTCTCTCTCCATACTGCATGTCCGCCGGGGGTCAAACGGCTGGTTCGAAGTGGTGTGGAACGCCGGCATCATAATAGCATTCTTTGTCATCGCAGCGTCGGGGCCAGCATTGACACGACACTGGCGGGGAGCGACGAGGGCATGTGTTGGCGAGGCTTGGGCAGCATTTCGGAACTTGCGGGTACAGCGTTCCTACGACGCAGGCTAAGAAGTTAATCATCTGGTTGGTAAGATCTGGCAGATGTCGAGTGGGCCGCTGTACAGCCTTTGTTACCGATTGAATAAATGCCCTGGTCTCGTCAATGTGATCGGCGAATACGGCCTTGAGCTGCCACAACGTTGGGTGGAAGCGTTTCGGTGGGTTCCCGACAACGGATGCCAGAATGGTGTTGGCAATGCGAATTGCGACGCGCTGGAGTTGTTACCACGACCCCGGTCGTCGCTGGTGGGTTTGGGTGTGAATCTTCCATCCCCCGACCGTGCATGCGTAGTTAGGATGCGATCCAAATCAACTCTGGTGTTTGTGGTTCTCCACTTCGTGTAGTCTGCCTGAAGACCATCAGACAGCGGGGCGGGCTAAACAATATGCCGCGTACTAGAGATGTAGCGTTTCAAAGTCAGTCGGTTGGTGGCACCTGATTAGCTGACTTTTTTTCGAGGGTACCAATTGGAACGTCACTGAAATGGTCGGGGTCTGGGAATTCTGGTGTTTGTTGGCGTTTGATATTCACGGCCGCCTCGGGCCTGCCGCCGTCCTGTCTTTCTACCCTTGTGCGCAAATCTGTGGACGACTACATCACTACCAATGCTGAACCGATGTGGTGGTATGGCAGTGCGTGACCATGTCGTAGCGGAAGAACCGGGGGACTATCACAAGTCTCCAGCTGTGATTGCTTATCATTGCAAGAACTAGCTAGCGTGCCGCAGAAACGCGATGCAGTATTTAGCGAGGGTGGTGGAGTCCGTGGTCGTCGAGGGTTCTTCGATGGAACCCGATGATCTGGACAAGCCCATAGTTGGCACCGCGTTCAGGCTGCCCCTCCATACCCACAAGTTGTGGATCTGAAGGACGGGTCTGTATGCAATGTTGCATTTGTAGGAAAACAGGGCTCGCGCTGGTAACCTGCGTGTTAACATCGTCTCCACGACGTGCGAGCCCAGCGGGTCGCGGAGGATGACGTGCACGGCGCAGATAGGGTATCTTTGATCGGGCCAGTGTTTCGGCTGCAGCGAGCTGCGGTAGAGGCAGTGTTGGCTTTTCTTGGCGTGTGCGAGGTGACGAGCACTCTCGCGTTGACGAATGCTGCTGTTTACTTGCAGTAGTACGTGTATGTGGGCTGGCGCGTCGGGGGGAAGTGGTGTATACGTGTGCGTGTTCAGTCGCGACCTTGATGTTCAATTGGCGCCGGGGGACGAAGTGTGCGTGTGCGCGTGTGCAGCAGATGTTTCCGACTCAGCGTGGGTGTATCATCACCTGGGGAGTCGAGACGAGATGGTTGCTGGAGTTCAGTGCACCCTTACGCGCATAGGCTTGAACATGATTTCCTCCACGGTGCTCGTATCAGATTTGGGAGCAGTGTTCTCTCTCCATACTGCATGTCCGCCGGGGGTCAAACGGCTGGTTCGAAGTGGTGTGGAACGCCGGCATCATAATAGCATTCTTTGTCATCGCAGCGTCGGGGCCAGCATTGACGCGACACTGGCGGGGAGCGACGAGGGCATGTGTTGGCGAGGCTTGGGCAGCATTTCGGAACTTGCGGGTACAGCGTTCCTACGACGCAGGCTAAGAAGTTAATCATCTGGTTGGTAAGATCTGGCAGATGTCGAGTGGGCCGCTGTACAGCCTTTGTTACCGATTGAATAAATGCCCTGGTCTCGTCAATGTGATCGGCGAATACGGCCTTGAGCTGCCGCAACGTTGGGTGGAAGCGTTTCGGTGGGTTCCCGACAACGGATGCCAGAATGGTGTTGGCAATGCGAATTGCGACGCGCTGGAGTTGTTACCGCGACCCCGGTCGTCGCTGGTGGGTTTGGGTGTGAATCTTCCATCCCCCGACCGTGCATGCGTAGTTAGGGTGCGATCCAAATCAACTCTGGTGTTTGTGGTTCTCCACTTCGCGCAGTCTGCCTGAAGGCCATCAGACAGCGGGCGGGCTAAACAATATGCCGCGTACTAGAGATGTAGCGTTTCAAAGTCAGTCGGTTGGTGGCACCTGATTAGCTGACTTTTTTTCGAGGGTACCAATTGGAACGTCACTGAAATGGTCGGGGTCTGGGAATTCTGGTGTTTGTTGGCGTTTGATATTCACGGCCGCCTCGGGCCTGCCGCCGTCCTGTCTTTCTACCCTTGTGCGCAAATCTGTGGACGACTACATCACTACCAATGCTGAACCGATGTGGTGGCATGGCAGTGCGTGACCATGTCGTAGCGAAAGAACCGGGGGACTATCACAAGTCTCCAGCTGTGATTGCTTATCATTGCAAGAACTAGCTAGCGTGCCGCAGAAGCGCGATGCAGTATTTAGCGAGGGTGGTGGAGTCCGTGGTCGTCGAGGGTTCTTCGATGGAACCCGATGATCTGGACGGGCCCATAGTTGGCACCGCGTTCAGGCTGCCCCTCCATACCAACAAGTTGTGGATCTGAAGGACGGGTCTGTATGCAATGTTGCATTTGTAGGAAAACAGGGCTCGCGCTGGTAACCTGCGTGTTGACGTCGTCTCCACGACGTGCGAGCCCAGCGGGTCGCGGAGGATGACGTGCACGGCGCAGATAGGGTATCTTTGATCGGGCCAGTGTTTCGGCTGCAGCGAGCTGCGGTAGAGGCAGTGTTGGCTTTTCTTGGACCTGAGCTTACGCCGCCAATGGACGTGTGCGAGGTGACGAGCACTCTCGCGTTGACGGATGCTGCTGTTTTACTTGCGGTAGTACGTGTATGTGGGCTGGCGCGTCGGGGGGAAGTGGTGTATACGTGTGCGTGTTCAGTGCGACCTTGATGTTCAATTGGCGCCGGGGGACGAAGTGTGCGTGTGCGCGTGTGCTGCAGGTGGGGCGACGGCGGGCTCGCCAGGGTTTCCGCGACAGCGCCAAGGTCCTGGCAGAGCCTCGTACCGCGCAGCACAGGGGAAGCATAACATGAGGAAATGGCAGCGCCTCATGCAGTGGGGACATGTGTCTACCGGCGTGGCCTGCGAACTGTTTGTCGTGGCGGCAGGCTTGTTCGGCGCGGTTGTCCTGTTCGTGCGGATCTGGTGCCTCATGATGTCGGGCCTGCACCAGAGTAGTTTTCTAGTTTTAATATGTTGGCCGTCGGCCAGTACGCCTTGGTGCATGTCGCACTGGCATGTATGTAGTCGTCTTTCGGGATGTAGTTTTCGATGCTGTCGGCTTGGCAGGAATGTTTGCTCGCAGTGTTCAGGCCGCCGTCTAGTTTTTTTTAGTTTTTTGTGTCTGTTTCTGTGTAGCAGTTGTCATTTTGCGGAGCCTGTTGTGCCTGATGGGGTTGTTCGGGTTCAAGATGTGCGCTACCTGGTGCGTCGAGCCTCCCTGCCCGCCTTCCTGCGGACGGTCGTGTCGCGCCCTGGCTTGAGAAGTGTGCTCCATGAGTTTGGAATTCCCGCGCCAATCTCAGCGGGGGCGCGCCTGTGATGACACGACTTCCGCAGTGTTTGTATCATGGAGCATCTCTGAGTGAGCACAGCACGCAGCGTGTAGCTGTGACTCATGGCAGCTGACTTGCTCAGCGCTCCCTCCTCCCTCCTCCCTCCTTCTCCTCCCTCCTCCCTCCTCCTTCTCCTCCCTCCCTCCTCCCTCCTCCTTTTCCTCCTCCTACTCCTCCTCCTCCTCCTCCTCCTTTTGCCCTCGGGTGTCATGGGGTGAGAGCCCGACTGTCCCTCCGCCCTCGTGTATCATGGGGTGGGCCCCCGGCCGCCCATCCGCCCTCGGCTGTCATGTGTATCTTTTGCGGTTGCGTGCTGTTGGAAAGACGTTCTCGCGCTAATTATCTTGCGCTGTGCCCCAGCCTCGGTCACCCCGCCCTCTAGACTTTTCCTTGCGGGCCGCTAATCAAAACTGTTGGAAAGCAATTCTTGCCGAGCGGCCGATGAGGG